ACAAAACGAACTGCAATATCGCTCTCTGCGTCTTCCGCCATTTTGTTCTGCGTCAATTCGTGAAGGACGCGTGGCTCTGAGCGTGGGTCATCCACGTCATAGTGGAACACATTCGCGCTATGTGATTGGCTGTTGTCTAATCCCCCTTGGGATATGTAGTCTTGAAAATAACTCGAGACGAATTACCTATGGAATAGGGGGTGTATGGGGGATGCCTTCTCTGTCCCCTTTATCCTCTCTTGATGTAAAGATATTGATAAACGAATCTTACTGTTTTATTCGGGTGTCTCGAAAAGTAAGACCTAAGACCTAAGATCTAAGACCCAAGACCCCCTCAGCTAATTTTACAACGGTTAAAAGACAACGGAAGGAAAGGCGTTAAAACCCTTTGTTCAGCACAAAAACAAGGGAAATTGATGGGGTCTTCGTTTTGTAGAAATGCTCGCTTTGAACTACAAAACGAAGACAAAATTAAAGTCACGCGAGCATGACGTGTCGCGACTCACATAATAGCCTGAGTATCGGGCGTTTCTGGGGAAAAGGGGAAAGATGGAAGCGAAAAAGGGAGACAAACGCCTGACACAGATGCTTTTAGGGTTGGTTATCCCTCGTATTCTCGGGTGGCTGAAAGGAGCTGCAAGAATAAATAGGAAGGTGCGATGGTGAAAGACCTATGCTTAGAAAATTATCAAGCAGCAGCAAATTCCACCACTTTACAGAGAGCTCGTGAAAGCTGTTAAAAGTTCAGTTAAGAAAGAAGTGAGAGTCTATAGCAAAGGTCAATCACGTTGGCGAAATATGATGGCGCCCGCTTGAGCTTAGGACATTTCAAAAGTGAAAAAAAAAATTGAAAGAACGAATTCCAATCACGTACACTATCGTAATCATCGTAACCGCCACAAACAAAGTCACAAAGTCAAGCCAAAGCTAGGCTTGGTGCTATCGGTTATTCTCCATACGTGGCTACCTCGCTCTTACAGTAACAATACCCTTTTAACGGCAGGATGTTGTAAATCAGAACTTAGCTATCTGAAGCACTGATATTGTGTCCTTTGTCCCGGTCTTGTGAAACCAATACTCGGACATAGTTGACGCAGAAGCTGGTATATGAGGCTTTTCCATACTCCGAGAACATCTTTTTCCTTTTGAAAACACAATTCTTGTTCGGGGTTTATTTTTATTACAGGAAAGAACTTGAAAGCGCTCTCTAGAGCCTTTGTAAATTCCTCTCTGCGTCTCTCTGCCCATAAAAGTACCACATGAAATCAAAACATCTATGAAAAATTTCAATGGCTTCTCCTTGCCGATAGTCTGCTACACAGCCGTTTTTAGTGTCGTCACGCAACGCTCCTCCCCACTAGTGGGGAGGAGCGTTGCGTTGCATTAGCTTAGGCGCGGCGGATTTTGTCACGTATGATCAGCGCGAGGTGTTTTTCCCGACACCCTTCTGTCAGGAAAATGTCATCATATGAAAGCATATCAGACACGATCGCGTCGGAAGGCCGAGGCCGGCAAAAATAAAAGGCATTTCTTCTTCCAGTTTTGTTTCGATGAGGTCAAAATAAATCAGGTTAGAGTTAGGGAGTAGGTAATAACATATTATCTTAGTCAAATCT